AGATTCGGGTCTCCTGGTGGCCTTATCACGTTGCGTCTACCGTAAAACCGTACCTGCCGAGTCCCAGGGGCGCCGCATCCCTCGTGCAGTCCTTTGCGAAATCTCCGAAGTAACATGGGACCCTAAACGTACCCCAGATTCATATTGTGTTGTTTACGCCGCTGCCGTTGCTACACCTGTAGCTCAAACTCAATCACATGCTAGGCTATAGCCGAGGACATCTGCCCGTGTCTTCTGTCTTGTCTTCCGTCCAAAAGCGGGGCGTGGCTCCCGGTGTGTGAAGACCATGAATCGTTCATCCGGTCCGTCTCTACGCTTTACATACGAGCCGCAGAGATTTGCATCGGCCCACCGCAACATCAGCCCACCGAACGTACCTCGCTCCAATTTTGACTGCCGCGAGCTTATCTTCTCTGGTGGAAGAACGTTGGCACCCCGGCCCCGGACCGAGACGGCGCCCACAAGGCCCTGATGTTCACCAGGAGTCAGGGAAGAGCAAGCGCACGATCCCTATGCACCCTGTTTTATAGGCCTAGGATTCTGAACCCCTACCAGAAGGATTACAGGTTCGCATTCTAGAACGGATGTGTACATGGCAGCCGCCAGCACCGCGCCACATTGCATACAAACAATTTACCAGACTATCGTTCGCTCTGTGGTATTTGTGGGCCGACTACTTTTGCGGTGTTATCTTACCGATTTCATCTCAATATCGGCTTTCCCACGTGGCGAATATGTTCTCGACCAATGTGAGCAGCGAGTAAGTGTTTTGTTCGGTCCGTATAAAGCATCTAGTGGGTGCACCCTTTGGAAGTTCATTGCAGCGCGCATCCAAATTTACCCTCGTTTAAACTTATTTTCTTTTGGATTTTCGAGATGCCTGCATTTTCCCGTTTAGCCGTTGCTGTTCAGCTTCTTGCTGTAATTGTAGCACCTGTTCTTGGTGCTGCCGCCAAGCCCCAGTATGACTACGTTATTGTAGGTGGAGGTGTTACTGGTTTGATTGTAGCCAACCGTATCACTGAAGACAAGAGCAGTATGTATCATGACACATTGACTGTTCGAGAGGTACTAATACAGATTGACAGAGACTGTTCTTGTTGTCGAAGCTGGTGACAATGTCGACACCGACAACACCAAGATCCCCTACAAGGCCAACGACCTGACCTCGGCTGCCGGTCTGATCTGGGAGAACATCAACTCGCTCCCTGAGCCAGGTCTTGGTAACACTTCCTATGCGGTTATCGTTGCCAAGGTCCTTGGTGGTGGATCGGTCATCAACGGCATGGTCTACGACCGTGGCTCTGCTGCCGACTACGATGCCTGGGAGGCTCTTGGCAACAAGGGATGGGGATGGAAGGGAATGGAAGAGGCCTTTATCAAGGGCACCACTTTCCAGCCTCCCACTCCCGATGTTGTCAAGGACTTCAACATCACTTGGGACGAGTCAACCTATGGTAACGGACCGTTGAAGGTCTCCATCACCTCCAACCAGTACGAGGATATCAAGGACTACTGGGCGGCATGGAAGGCTTCCGGTGTCTACATTCCCGAGGATGGAAACGCTGGTGAGGCCTACGGTCCTTCTTGGTACGCCAACACCATGGATGCTACCACTGGGCGTCGTGCGCACGCTCGTTACGCGTACTATGACCCCATCCAGACTCGTGCCAACCTCCACATCCTTACCGGTACCACTGCCGACAAGATCATCTTTGACAGCAAGAAGAAGACCATGGCCAGTGGTATCGAGGTGACCGACAAGACTGGCAAGAAGGCCACCTTCTACGCCAAGAAGGAAGTTGTTTTGGCTGCCGGTGCTATCCAGACCCCTAAGCTCCTCCAGCTCAGTGGTATTGGTCCCAAGTCCGTCTTGAAGGCTGCCGGTATCCCGGTCAAGGTTGAGCTCGACGCAGTAGGCTCCAACTTCCAGGACCACCCCTACGCCACCGTCGTCTTCAACACGACTTCCAACTACTTCCCCAACCAGAACTCGCTCATGACCAACGCCACCTTCAACGCCTCTGCGTGGGAGCAGTACGTCGAGCACAAGACTGGTCCTTACACTTACGCCCGTGGTAACGCCCTGGCTTTCATCTCCCTGCCCGACATGACCAACGACACCGACAGCCTCATCAGCCGTCTGAGCAGCCAAAAAGCCACCGACTACCTCCCCAGCATCTACAAGTCCAACAAGAAGCTTGCTAGCGGATTCGCTAAGCAGCGCGCCGTCATCGCCGACATCTTCTCCCGCAGAGATGCCGCCGTCGCCGAGTTCCCCGTCCCTGCCGATGGCAGCTACGGCCTCGTCGGAGTTGAGAAGCCGCTGTCCCGCGGTACTGTCTACATTGACGCCAAGAACCCCAACGGTCCTCCCAACGTCATCTACAACGCTTTTGTCAACCCCATTGACCGTATGATCATGGCGGTTGGTCTGCGATTCTTCCGTACCGTGTGGGCCCGCCCTGAGCTCGCCAGCAAGAAGATCTCTGAGACTGTCCCTGGTGCTCAGCACACTTCAGACGAGGATATTTACAACTCCCTGCTTGCGCAATCTATGTTGAGCCCTACTCTTGCTCACCCGTCTGGCTCCTGCCCCATGATGCCTGAGAGGGACGGTGGCTGTGTCAGCGACAAGTTGATGGTCTACGGTACTCAGCATCTTTCCGTTATTGATGCCTCCATCATTCCTATCATTCCCTCTTGCCATCTCCAGGCTACCATGTACGGTATTGGTGAGAAGGCTGCTGAGATTATCAAGGCCAGGTCGTAGAGCGTGGCCTCTTGGTCTATATAACATTCTTGTATATATCTATCTTATAATGTGTATAGCGACTACATGAGCTACGAGCGAATGCCAAAGTTGCTTTGTTCAATACCTGTATTTCCAAGTCTCTTTGCAAAGTGATACCCGCTGCTAGTCAAAGCCTTGTGAACCCATGCAGCCAAACGAGAAGGCATTTTTTCTTCTCAGTCTTGCATTGGTTCATAAAGTGTCTTCCAAATTTTGATAGTAGTCAGCGTTGAAGTCTCAGACTATGGGAGTGAATACTTTTAGGGCGAGACGTGCGTGGGTTGGTGGGTAGGGTGGACCCCCACTAGTGCCCCTCCATCCCACGGTTGCGTCACTACTTTCCAAAAGTTCACGCTGCGTAGCTAACTTGACGCGCCTGGTTATTGTCCCTCCATCACCACCACCACTGACCCTACACGCAAAGATACCCCTGACCACGCCATCATGAAGTTGCTCAAAAGCCAGATTGAACAAAAAACAGGCGCGGGCTTCGTCACCCTGCTGCCTGAAGAGCCTGAGGACATGTGGCACGCCTATAACCTGATCCAAGAACACGACCAAATACGCGCCAAGGCAGTCCGACGAGTCTCAAAGACATCAGATGCCGGCTCCACGTCGTCACAAAGAATTGCTTTGGACCTCACCATCACCGTAACATCGACCGATTTCGACGTCGGCTCCGAACAACTACACGTTTCCGGTCGCGTAGCAAAGGAGAACGAGCACGTCAAACTAGGGCAGCATCACACACTCGACTTGGAGCTAAATCGCAAATTTACCATTGAAAAAGCAGACGGCTGGGACAGCGTCGCGTTAGAGCAGTTGAAAGAGGCATGCGATGCATCCAAACGCGCAGAACTATGGGCCGTCGTCATGGGAGAGGGCGTCGCGCACATCTGCATGATCACAGAACACCAAACAATACTGCGACAAAAGATTGAGGTCTCGGTGCCCAGAAAACGACGAGGTGGCGTCGACGGACACAGCAAAGGCATGGACAGATTCTTCTCCACAACGCTCTCCACCCTCCTACGGCAAATCGACCTACCAAATACCTCCAACACGGCGCAAGGCGGCAAAACACTCCCCCTCCTGCTCGCCAGCCCCGGCTTCGTAGCGACAGCATTCCTACAATACATCAAAGCAGAAGCGACGCGGACAACCAACAAGCCGCTCATGGCCCTCATACCCACCATCATCATCGCACACTCGTCATCAGCGCACACACACTCCCTCAACGAAGTTCTCTCCTCCCCAGCCATAACGAACAAACTCTCCGACACAAAGTTTGCGCGTGAAACAGCGCTCATGGATAAATTCAGCACCCTCATGCGCCTGGACGATGGGCGCGCGTGGTACGGACCCCGCGAGGTGGAGCGCGCGGTTGCCAAAGGCGCAGTCGGACGCGGAGGTGGCGTGCTCCTCATCAATAACGCCTTGTTTCGCGCGCAAAACGTCAAGGAGAGGCGGCGATGGGTCAAGTTGGTTGATCAGGTGCGCGATGTAGAGGGTGGTGAGGTGCGCGTTCTCAGCTCGTTGCACGAGTCGGGGAAGCGCCTCGAGGGGCTGGGCAATGTTGCGGCTATCCTTACTTATCCGTTGGAGGACTTGGATGAGGATGACGGGGAGGATGTTGGGGGTGGCGAGGGTGAAGGGGGCGAGATGATAATATAGGTTGTGGATGTACGTGGGGTGGGCTGGTGTGTGGCTGAGCAAGGGGTGATGGGCAAAGACCTACAGGTGGCTATATGGAGTCATGATGATAGCGATATACCCTCGATGAACGCATTTGTGTATACTGGATCTCTTCTCAATGGTTGCTACAGGGGAGTGTTGATTAACAAGGTCTTTGCGCCGAATATGTAATGCGAGCATGGTGTACGCTAATCCAGGCCTTCAAGACAGCAAAAGAGAACAACAACGTCTGCCTATGCTGACTTGGCGATTTGAACAGCCTGGAATACAAGCATTCCGACTTGGTGCAAGAACAAAAAATGGTAGCTTCACTTTGATTAGAGCGTGTCATCCATGTGCTGGGGCCATGCTAATCTTCTCTGTATCGTTTCTTTATTGACCATATGCCCAGAGGCAGAGGATAGATCGAACGATTCCATTATAAAGATGGAGTTCGGATGAAAGGCGAGTGGTACAGTGTCCTGGGGGCTTTGCAGGGTGGCTAGGCGGCGACGGGTCACGTGTAATAGTGTCAAGATGGATATCTGAGAGACCATTTTTGATCTTGTAACCACCAGTATGGATCCTCTGGCGCCCAACCTGCATCTTCTGGCAACCATACTCTATCTTCTGACGGCTCGGTTCTATTGTAATCTTCCCAGTCGGCTTCAGAATAATCATTGTCGTACAACGAAGCCACCATGTTCTTGACAAAGTCAGGGTTATCGCCAGCATCATTGCTGCGGGTGATCTCAATTTGAACCGACATGAGAGCATTCGCGGGCAACTCGGTAGATGTGCTCGCCACACTCATGCGATATTTGTTGAACAAGGATTCTGAGAGAAAAGTGCCAAGATCTTTCCCTTCTCGCTCGATCTGCCTTACAAAGCCACCAGCCTTGGTCGTACGGTTAGGCCTCTCTCCCCATTGATAATATGGCTCGAACTTGGTGTAAAAGTGCTGCGCCAGAAGATTAGAGAACACCATCCACTCAACCTGGATTGGAAGTTGCGTTGACGTTTGCCGATCGGACACTTCCGTAGAAACATTGGAGTTTTCCCTCAAGATACCTAGAGATTTGACGTGCTTGCTGTAGACCTCAAGGAAATTTCTGCATTCCCTCGACTTCGACTCTGTCATTATGTAGTCGTCTGGCAAACCATGTGGCTTGCTGGGCCAGTGCGTCAAGCAGACACCATACGTATAGGTTCCCATAGTATACTGCGAACGCATGATGAAAACTCGATAGTTGGGATACCGCGACTCATCGTTCCTTCGGGACTCAAGGGAAAAAGTCTGCATTGCCGTCGCAGAATCCAGAGCAGGGGTTCCTTCGACAGGCGAGAAAAGATCAATCCCATATCCGCCAACGATCCAACAGATTGTCTGGAAGGTCAATGCTCGCTCTTTCGCGCCGCAGAGGGTCTCGAGCATATGGAATCCTTTGATCACATGCGCGTCCAGCTTTTTCATGATCTCCTTCACCTGCCAGTACCACATTACCTTCCCCAGTACATCTATCGATGCGACTGGTTTGAAAACATCAAGGATCATCCAAGGGACGGAATAAGAGTGCGTATGCTCCAGACCATTCTCAAGAAATTCTTTGGTATTGGTCATCAGTTCCTCGAGGCTAGCTTCATAGTTCACCTCCATACCAGTCGTCTGGAAACTTTGTTGGAGTATTCCGAGCAGCCCGTATATTCGATCGTGAAATCTTGAGCACGTCCTATTGGTTACGACTCTCAGAATGCGAGACATCGCGTCCTGAATCGAGCTGCCATCCCAATCTTTTTCGAACTGTGACTTGGCGAGAAAGAGTTCATTGACTGGCTGGCTTTGACGCTCATAATGTAGGAACTCATTGAAATTGTACAACTGCTTCCAATAACAATAATGAAGTCCACAGACTAAGTGAAGTTTTCTGGCAAGAACACACTCCTGGACGATCCAGATACGCCGGAAGTACGATCGGCTACACAGTTTACTGATCGCCTTTTCGTTATCTTCGATTTTAATTAAGTCTGGGCGAATTTTATGATACCAGTTCGGCCCCGGTGGGTCATCATTCAGGTAATCCAAAGCCATGGCTGAACCATCGCCAATCTGACCAATGCCAAGCCAGGCTATAACATGGGAAGCTCGACGATATATTTTACCCATCATGGAAACCTGATGAGGCTTTTCCATGTCGCTCGCCTGGTCTATCGCGATGGCATCAATCCAAAAATAAGGTGAGTCTTTGTCGAATAGCCTCGTGCTCGATGTATCCGCCTGGAGGGTTCGTATATGTCCTAAGGCGTCGAATAGGTTCTGCCGTGTTTTGAAGACTGCCCCATCTATGATGATGTCGTATATCTCTGAGTCATCGCCCCATTCATACGATAGTGCTACGAACGCTGGGCACTCCGCAAGCTCGTAAGTTTGTATGTTGAGCCGAATGGCCTCTGTGCCAGGCTGAAGTTTCAGAAGACGTATTTGCTCCGCTGGACGCGCCAACGGGATATGCTCAAAAGTTGTTCGAGACATGGTAGTTTTCTGTAACAGGATGTGTTCGTGACGAAGGGAGTTGTCGCAGGAGTCTTGTTCGTAGGGCCATGGCAGCGAAGGTCGCATTCGGCTGAAAACGCCTCTTGTGCTGTCACGGCTGAATTGAACCAAGGACATCCAATGGGAGAGCCCCGCCCCCAACCTTTACGCTTCGAACTCCCGAGGCACTACCAATTCATTAATACTCAAGTTTCTTAGATCCAGGCGCGCTTCTCATAGACATACCAACTCTCATCGGGTCGTAATCTGGAAGAAAAGAAAAATATTTCCTGCACATCGATGGCAATGTCGCTGTGCGCCCAAGTCACTCAAACGACCGGCGTACCCTATAGTCAACAGTCGCTTGGTCAGAGTCGCACTGTCGCGGTATTGACGCAGGATTTGACAGCGGCATCGTGCTCTCATGCTAGGTTATGTATGGTCTTTATCTTTGTTTTTCTCAATCGTTTGATTGGAAGTGTTACAGCAGAATTGCTGTACGCCTCGTTGTATGCATGACATAGATTGTACTTGATGATGAGCCGCCTCATCATCTCTATGTGCTCTAAAACTGCTACCGCAACTCATAGTCCTCCCATAACAGCACCAAGAACACTCAGACCCAGCAAGGCTGAGACCATCCAACTCCTACCTCCATTGATCCTTATACCAGCACTAGCATATCCTCCCTCGTTATCGTCCCTTTTCACACCAACCGTATCGGACCATCTGCTAACCTGTATATCATACGTCCCACCATCAACGTCCCAAACCAACTGTCCATCAACTTGAGTATACCCCTCCTTTCCTATCTCCTCACCATTCACCGTCAAAATCACCTCCATATAGGTTCCCATCTCCTCAAGCGGCAACCTCACAGAACCCTTCGTACCCACCGGCGTCTCAATCCCCACCGTATACCTCTCTCTACCCTTCTTATTCACCCAACCGACCCTAAACTTCCCCAATCCCGTCACAAAGCCCCCTTCTGCCTCCTCCAAATCGCCAAACCTCGGCTCAACAACCCATACTCTCCCAGCAGGTTCCCTAATCTTCAGTCCTACCACAAACTCCGTCAACGCACTCGTAGGACCCGAGCCCCATCCATGTGCATGCGACACATAACTCGGATCATATCCGTACCCCCTCTCCTGTCTATACCCAAACGTCCCATTCGTCCTATACCCTTCTATCACCGTACTTCCACCCGTGCCGTTGGGGTGATTAGCATACCAGCCCCAACTCCTGCGAATCAGTTCTAGCGCACGATGTGTATTACCGACGGTGAAGTGGCTCTGGATTTCAAACGAGGAGATGAATGGGGATATGTTGCCGGGGAGTTCTGGTGTTTCGGCGCCGATGGGCGTCCAGTTTTTTGTTAACGCGGTGGAGATGGATTGGGCCTGGGCGGAGGAAGGAGAGACGAGGCCGAAGAGGAGGGCCATGCTGTTTGCGTCTTGGGGGTAGAGAGTGGTGAGTGTAGCGTTGTCGCGGAATGCGCCGTACGCGGTGTCGAAGGTGTGGGTTAGGATTGCTGATTGAAGACACGTGGCGCGTAATGTCCATAAATCCTGCAGCCTAGTGCCGTTGGTCATCGCGGTGTCGTTCAGCCATGTTGCGAGCTTCGCACCGGTCTGCAGTGTATGATATAAAATGACGTTCGCTTCGGTGTTGTTGAAGCCAGTCTGCCAGCGCGCCCAGTCCCTCGTGCCCGTCTGATTGAACAACCCAGATCCGTTCACCTCGACTTTAGCATAAACATACTCCATAGCTCTCTTGTACCTCGCCCAATTCTTCTGCACAAAGGCTGCATCGTTGGTGTAGAGCATGTAGTTGTACGTCCCGATCATCGTCCACATATGGTACGTATCGCTATTCTGCTGCAATAACGGCGGTCCAGCTTCCGGAAACGAGCCATCTGGATTCTGGTAGTCAAACATGACTTGCAATGCATTCTTCACGCTCTCGAGATCTCCAGTGCTGACAAAAGTTGAAGGCACGGCAATGCCCATGTCGCCTGGCCAGACGGCGCGATCGCGCTTTGCGCCATCGACGATGATGGTCTCTCCTGGTCCCAGAGTACCATTGTTGGCCCAGCCGTTGGCGAGCATGGGAACCCAGCGGCCGGTGTTGGATGGTACGGCGTTGGTTTGGAGCGTGTAGGCGCCTGCATACCATATCCTATTCAGCAGCTCGTCGTTACAATGGAAATACCCCTGATATGCTCTCAGATTCGACCATGTAGGTTGAAAACTGATTTCAAGCTGCACATCCGTGATGTTCACGTAGGTGCCTGTGTTCGTGACGAGGAAAGCACTCATGTACCGAAACCCTCCTCGCATCACTTCATCCGGCATCGTATACGTCCCCGGGCCAGCACTGGTTATATTGACATACAATGCTCCATCGCGACCAGCAAACTTTCCATTCGACGCATCAGACCACTCGCCAATCCACGTCGATGCTTCGGAGAATGCGAGGCCGATGGCACCGGTTCCATTGCTTGTGTAGGAGAGAGAGGCGATACCGCCAACTTCTATACCGAAATCGAAAACAACATTCGTTCCATTCCCGCGGAGGACTACGAGTCGAGGGTAACTTGCTGGATGACGGTCTCGGATAGTGACGACTGATCTTGGTCGAACTGTACGTGATGATGGGGCGTAGATGTTCCCACGCCAGGGCCCTGATTTGTTACCATCAAGGAAGAAAGATAGGAATAGAAGTAGGTACCTTCAAACGCAGCTTCAGTTGGTCCATTGCATGTAGTATCTCGCCAACAAGACCCAGCTAGTACTTCCAATTGCAGCGTCGTCAACGAAGCGATACTTGCCAGCAGCCTAGTCCAATACATGTTTGCTAGATGAAGGCTGAGCTGCACGAAGCAGGATGTACTCTGCTGATATCATGTCTTGATAAGCTTCAAGGTTCAAGGTACTATATGATGCTCGGCATGCGTTGCGCCGAGCCGCCTAGGTGGTTTCGCCGGACCGGGAATAGATGAGGTATACGATCTTCTTGATCATCGCTAGAATGCGGGGAAATAAGCTAAGCGCTAGCTACACCAAGCTCTTCGCGACTGGTGCAGGCTGGTTCCGCTCTTCGGGCCCAGTCCTGGCGGATCTTGTCTTAGAAACTTTGGTTCGATGCTTGATCAACGGCGCTGGCTGGTGACGACCAATTCCCAAACAGCTGTGCGAGCATAATTACATCTACTAGCACTTTGTGGTAACATTGGAAGTCAATCGCACTGCTTGATAAGAGCAACGCAATCTACAACTTCTCCTGCGTCTTCTTCCCCAGCACGTCCTCCCTCCGTCTAACATCCACATCCCTCGGCCCCTCCCCCTTGAACCTCGTCGTAACAACCCATTCCCGCAGTCCCCTCCTCCCCTTTCCACCTTCCTGCTCCTCGACCTCTTTACCCGGTCGATCCAATACGAGAACCGCAGTATCTTTATCCACACCTCCCACACCGTCCTGCCCCTTCTCACCATACTGACCCTTGCCCAGCACGATAGGAGAAATACAAGCTTCTGCAAAGGAAACTTCAGGCTTGCCATCATACATCCTCGGTTTGCGCAAGAAATCCAGACATTTTTCTCGCTCGAGTTGCAGCTCCGAGATACTTGGTGTAGGACTGCTCGGGCTCGTGACCGTTGCCGCTAGATACGGACTCAGCAGCAGCGTCAGGAAAAACTGCGGCGGAAACAATATAATCCTATTCTGCCTCGCGAGATCAATCCACTTGTTCGGTGGCAGGAAACGTGCGGCCGTGTGTTCGATACCCCCGTCATGCGTCGGGTTTGGTATAACGATTTCATCTTCTTCTTCGAGTCCAGAGCCAGGGGGCGTGGACGCTGGTGCCGCGTGTTTCGTGGGCGATACGGACCCGAGAGGAAGGAAGTAAAGGTACATTTGTGTCGAGAATCTTTTGGGCACGTTGCCGGGCGTTACCCACCGCGTAAACGGTATCAGCGCCTCGGTGTCGGGGACAGCACCCCATTTCTCAAGTAGATCGCCAAACTTGACTGTTCCGCTGTGCACGTCTCGTCGCCCTTTTTCACGTTCTTCGTCGCTGATCTCGGTGAACAGCTTGCCTGTCTTCTTGCTCTTAGCTAGTAGGATACCGCATTCCTCAAATGTCTCGCGCACGGCTGCCATACGGTAGGCAGGCCCATCTTGGTGTCTCCCTGGGTCGTTCACGTCGGGGATGGCGCCGTCGTGCGTTTTGGAGAGGGCGCCGCCAGGGAAGACGTGTGCGGAGGCGAAGCTCGAGGCTTTCTTGACACGGTGCAGAAGAAGAATTTGGTTGGTAGGGGAGATCAGGAGGACACTGGGGATGGTCAGCATATGGTACTTGGAACCGTTGCTAGAGGTGGAGGGTTGGCGGCATACCTTGCGCTGGGCCGTGGAACCGCTGGTGTCTTTGCCGCCTTTTTAGACGGCTGGTGGTCTGCTGGGGTGGACATGTTGCGCTTCTTTAACTCAAGCAATCCAGTCGCGGGCCGTTGAATAGCCTTCAAGTAGGCAGCTGTTCGTACTGACGTCGCTCTGCACCGAACTTGTGGTCTGTCGAAGAACGAAGAGAGTGTAAAGGTGGGACGTGTAGAGATGGTTTGTCTAAGGGTAAAGGAGCGCGCAGTCAATCTACCTTCAGCCAGGAGACGCATTGGCATATCCGGCTTCACAGACAGCCGACAATGGCGGTCGGCGCGTCATGACGGCTGGCATGTGGTTGGTGAGTGACGAGTCGACGCGCGGGGAGGTACCGAGGTTAGGACATGTTAGCTCGCACGGTGACATCGCGGCCAAAGAGTCAACACTCCAGAATTTCCCGCGGCAGCATGCATCACTGACTCAGCAGAAGACATATTTTGTACTTGAATAAGAATGAACAGAGTTCGTGGTATCATTGCTTTTGGCCTATTGTATCCATTTGCTCCCGTAAATAAGAACATCAATCATCTTCGCATAGCGCATCGTGTCTAATAATGAGGGAATGAACCAAGCCATTCAACCATCCCAACCACCCACTAACGCCCTCCCAATGCATTTCTTTCGTATATCGTTTTCGCTCCTCTATGAGTAAAGCTTCTTGTCGAAGCTGTGCAGACCATGCACGTTACCCTCAGCCTGTGCGCTAGCAGTGCGCAACTCGAACCTGACGGTGCCGTTGGCAACGCCCTTGTGAAGCTCTTCGAGGCTCGTGATACCAATGTCCTGTAGCGAGTGCTGAACACCAGCCATGAGGTAAGGCACGAACTTGGTGATGGAGCCACGGTCCTGGACGGATCCAGAGACACCCTGCGCAACGAGGACACGGTCACCCTCGGAGAAGTAACGCGCAGTACCAGCGTTGCTGGCCTTGGAGTCTGCGGCGCCGGCGCCGGCCTTCTTGTCCTCCATGGCGGCGATACTGCCCATACCACGGTAGGCCTTGACGAGCTGACCGTCACCGCTGACAAAGTACTCTCCGGGAGACTCAGTAGTACCGGCGAGGAGACCACCCATCATGATGGCCGAGGCACCCATAGCGAGACCCTTGACGATGTGGCCAACATTCTGGATACCACCATCGGCAATGCAGGGCACGCCGAACCGGGACGCAAATGAGGCGACGTTGTACACCGAGGTAGCCTGCGGCCGTCCGACAGCCATGACTTCCTGTGTGATGCAGGCACTTCCGCTACCCATGCCGATACGGAGACCGTCGACACCAGCGGCGATGAGCCCAGCAGCTTGATCGCGTGTGACGACGTTGCCACCAATCACGTCAAGCTGGGGGTACTTCTCCTTGATGTACTTGATCATCTCAATCTGGTACATGCTGTTTCCCTGACTGCTGTCGAGGATGACAATGTCAAGGCCGGCATCTACGAGCTTCTGCAGACGAATCTTGTCCTCGGGTCGGGTACCGATGGCAGCCGCCGCGATGAGCTGCTTCGAGTGTGGGAGCTTGGACGCAAGCGGGAAGTTGAGGTTCTTCATCAAGTCGGAGCGAGACAGGAGCGCAATCAGGTTGAAGCTCTCGTCGACGATGGGAAGCTTGCCCTTCTTGGACTTGTTCAAGATGTCGTTGGCTTCCTTGAGCTCAACACCGTGGCGGGCGGTTACGAGGTCGGTGGACATGACTGCGGTGACCGGGTCGTCGAGCTTGTCGTGGAACTGGATGTCTCGGGGTGTGATGATACCAACGAGCTTGGAGCGAAGAGTGCCGTTCTCTGTAGCTACTGTCAGTGGATGATTCCAATACAAGATGTTGACAAAGCGTAGTGGTTTAGAGGCAATTCAGATACATTTTCTCCACAGTAGGCGGAACCTTGCGGATGAACGAAAGTTATTTTGAAAGGTTGATCATCACGATGCGAGCGGGGGTAGGAACAACGGAGTAGAGTCTGACTTACCAGTGACTGGGAAACCACCGAATCCCCACTTCTCCTTCAGCGCCTTGGCCTCTCCAACAGTGGTATTGGGAGAGATGACGACTGGGTCCAGGATGAAACCGTTCTCAAAGCGCTTGACTTTGCGAACCATCTCAGCCTGGTCGTCCTGAGAGCAGTTGTGGTGGATCACACCGAGACCTCCAAGGAGCGCAATGTGAATAGCCATCTTGTGCTCGGTGACAGTGTCCATGGGCGAGGAGACGAAGGGCGTCTTGAGAGAAATGCGCTTGGTGATTGGGGTGTCGAGTGCGACTTCGGCTGCGGGGAAGCCAATGTAGCCAGGAAGCATGAGGAAGTCATTGTATGTGAGACCGCCGTTCTTCTTGGAGTCAATGAGCGTCTTGACGTCAATGCCATCGCGCTCAGAGTACTCGTTCTTGAGAATCTCAAGAGCCTTGGTGTAGTCCAAGGCGTTCTCAGCCGTGTTGGTCATGGCGTCACCGTTGGAGATGGGCATGATAGGTATAAAAAGAAACTTCTCAAGGATTTGAGAAGGGTAAGAGGGGTATCACTGAAGGAAACAGACCGTCGTTCTCAGTAAAGGACTCTGGCCGGGGAAAATCGAGGGTTTTCCCAAGAAGAAAAAGTTTGGCAGAGAATGCGGCGCGGAAAGAATTTCAGTGGGCTCCTTCGCCAAGAGTCTGCTGATGTAACCCCGCCTTTTAGCGTGACTAAGACGCGTCCCAAAGGCAGACGATGCGCGCGGAACATGGCAGCATGTGCGTGTATACTGACTTGAGCACTTGATCTTGCGATGGTGCTGGTGGTTGTCGATTCGTCCAAATGCACGCTGTCTACAGAAACATCATCGACCGATGAGTTCCACAGGAGCCGACAGGTACCTGGGTGCTTTCTGGTATAGACAGGTTGGTCGAAACCTGTCAATTGGGAGCTCCCTTATACTTGTCAAGTATTGACATGTCGACGAGGATGTAATTGGACGTCTGGAAGGGGTACGCTAAGGGAAGGTTTGGACGCGACAGCTCACCGTGCGACGTGTAGTAGGGCTGCTGTCGCCGTTATGGTGCCGGACGTCTTGTCGCCCTAGACTTCAGGCACCGTTGTCGCGACATGGCGTAGACTGGAGATTTCTGGGGCGGTTGAGGGGAGGGGTGTTGAGTTCGGAGTGAAGGGCTCGCGGCAGACATGATGATCAACAGCAACCACAAAGGAGATGCAGCACTAGGATGTTGTTTTGAGTCTGCCGGTCCGTGGGACGGGAGTCGGGATGGATGATTTTCGCGGCGTGGAGAGGGCATGCTGGGGTGGTTGGCACGACAACATGCCGGCAAGCCATCGCAGCCCGTCGTAAACATCCGCAAAAGCTTGGACTACACACGTCCGCTTCCAGTTTCAACGCCGCAGCCTTTCATCTACGATACCCAATTTCGATTTCCGTTTCCCATTCCGCTATTCGCCCGTGCAGAGTAAAAGTGCGCGCTTGGTCGCAGGGCTTCAGACATTCGCTTGGTCGAGTTCGCGACTTTTGTTTTGGCGGCAGGCGCAATCCATATTACTTGTAATTATCGCGGGCCTCCATGACGGTCTCTTGAGCATCCACCACCACGCCCACGACCACCTTTCTTTGTTCTGTACGACGCATGCGGTTCGACTGTCGCGCTCGCCATGAGTTCTTACCTGACTGCCCCACGATCGAGACCTGGCCACTCCGCAACATCGCCCTCCCCGCTCCGCCAGACGTCCACAGCTTCCAATGGCTCCTCGAACCACTCTCAGTACCCCCCGAGCCGCTCGAGCACGCAGTCGAGCCATGCATCCAGCGGCTTCGGCTCCTTGTCGCACCGCCGCGGCCTGAGTGAAGCCACGGCTCTCTCTCGCCCGCGAACAGAAGACTACTTCGGATCCACAGAGACTGACCCATCAGATATGTATTCGAGTATGCGCAAATCCCTACGACCGGCATCGCCTGAGAAGCAGACGCCATCGTCTCCCGACAAGGCCTTGAGACCGACGACGCCCGTATATCCGCCATCGCCCGAAAAACTGCTACGTCCCGCAACTTTCTCGAATCCGCCATCGCCAGAGAAGCTACTACGCCCAGCAAGTACTAGCCCGGTTCGCAGCAACAGCCACCTGCGATCACACAGCGTCGAGAACCTCTACTCTCCATTCGACGGCCCCTCCTCGCCGACAGCCAAACCGCGCCCGCTCTCGCTAGCAGTATCTCGACATGATTCCGTACGCGCGCCCACCCGCGACCACTCCTCCCGACCGCTATCCGTCCACCTAGAACGACCAGAACTTAAGAGCTTCCAGAAATCTTCTACGGGACACCTGCGGACTCTCTCCAAATTTGCCGAAGACGCAAACGACGATGACTTTGCCATCAAGTCTCCAGAGCAACAGGTCGTGGGTCTCAACGGGCGAAGGAGGCTGCAACGGAACCCGGATAGGCAAAAAGCAGCTTCCTCATGGGGAAGTCGGAACTGGATGGATCAACAAAGGCAGTTCTTGCAGGCCTACGAGTATCTTTGTCACATTGGAGAAGCCAAGGAGTGGATGGAAGACATTCTTGAAAACGACCTACCGCCTGTTGTTGAACTCGAGGAGGCGCTGCGAAACGGCATCACACTAGCGGAAATCGTACAGTCCATCAAGGGACAGCCGCTGCGCATATTCCGCGACCCAAAGCTACAATACCGACACTCCAACAACTACGCGCACTTCTTCAAGTTTCTCGCCGAAATCGAACTGCCCGATCTCTTCCGTTTCGAACTTGTCGATCTCTACGAGAAGAAAAATGTGCCAAAGGTCATCTACTGCATCCACGCGCTCTCATGGCTCTTATTCCGGAAAGGCATCGTCGACTTCCGTATCGGTAACCTGGTCGGTAAACTTCAATTCGAGGACCACGAGCTGGAGGCTACACAAAAGGGCCTGGACAAGTCTGGTGTTAGTATGCCGAACTTCTCTGGTATGCAAGCAAACTTCCAAGTCGAGCCAGAACCAGAACCAGAGCCAGAGCCAGTCGAGTCCGAAGAAGACCGGATCGATCGGGAACTGGG